TAAAAAATATATTATATCCCATTTCCATTTGGAATAAACAGGCTATTTTCATGCTTTCCTATACGCTGCGTTTCAAAACATTTAATAGGCTGACTCAATTTTGCTTAGTTTCCTTTTAATGGCTGCATCTCTGACAAATCTATAAAACTCAGTTTTCTTTCAATTCAAAAAGCAATGGATAGTTCATTTCCCAGTGACCATGCGGGCGAAGCCGCGGGTAACAGCTAGTAAACTATATACACAATAATATGATTCGTAGCCGTAGCCGTGGTAGCTCAGATGGTTAACGCTCGCTGTAAATATAACAGAACACGAGTAACCCGTGTTCGATCTCCGCCGGCACCAATGAAATTGTTAATTGCAATTCTAAGTGCTGATTTACCACGTACTCGGCGGTGAAGGAAAACATCGTGAGGAAACCTGCATGTCTGAGGAATAAGAAAAAAAATATTTCGAAGATATGTGAAGTTCGCCAACACGCATTGGGGCAGCGCGGCGGACACTTCCTTGCCCTAAAACCCTCTCAGAAATGAGGGGAGGCCTGTGCCCAGCAGTGGGACGTATATAGGCTGTAATTTTACTTTAATTTTTATAATAATATTAATGTAAAATTAAGAAACAGCTTTTTGTCTGTGTTTGTGCACTCTAATCTCCGCAATAGTTCAACCATTTAGATGTTATCAGTAATGTTATTGAAATAGCTTGGGCTAGCATTTAGTGTTAATACAATAAAAATGATAAATAAATGTTACAGTTATTCCCGCTTGACGTGACGCGTGCACAAACCGGAAGAAAAAGCGTTGTTTATTTGGTGTAAAGGTACGTGAAAATAATTTAGTAAATATTTGGATAATATGAGGGCGGCACTGAAAATTTCGGGAATCAAGGAATTGACACAACATTACTATTTAAAAATGTATTTATTACTTTTCGAAGTATTCTCCGCGAAATTTGACACATTTTTCCATACTATGGAACCAATCATTGAAGCAACCATTCCATTCGGAAGTTGGGGTCTCCAAAATGGCCGTTTTGTAGGCGTCCACAGCTTCTTCAGGTGATGAAAATCTCTGTCCACGCAATTTATTCTATATATTAGGGAAAGTATAGAAATTATTAGGGCTTAGGTCGGGGCTGTACGCCGGATGGTCTAATAATTCTATGTTTTCTTGCTCTAAAAACTCTTTTGTTCTGTGTGCGGTGTGAGAACTCGCGATGTCGTGATGGAGGATGATGCGGCGGTTGCAGTTCTCTTTACGGAGTTCAGAAACGACCTGTGGCAAACAATGCTAGCATACCATTCTGCATTAACCGTTCTTTGTCCCTCAAGAGGAATAGTCGTAACATGGCTGGTTTTGGAGACAAACGTGGCCACCATTTTTTTGCAACATTCCGTGAACGAACAATTTTTGTTGGCTTTAACTCATTTTCGAACACCCAAACTCGTGACTGGTTTTTTGTTTCGGGTTCGTACGCGTATATCCAGGATTCGTCACCTGATACGATGTTGTCTACAGCATTTGAGGAGCCTGCGTGTAATCTTTCGAGAGTTCTGACGCACTAAGTAACGCGAGCCGCTTTTTGCTCTTCACAGAGCGAATGTGGTATCCATCGGGAAAACAACTTTTTTTACACCTAATTGTTCATACAAGATTATTTGTATTTGACTCATGCCAATGTCTAAAGTTGCCTAAATTTCGCGGTATGTCACATGTCGATCTTCCTCAATCAGCTTACGCACAGCATCAACGTTTTCTTGGGTGACTGCAGTTTTTGGACGACCTTGACGGGGATCATCACTGAGACTGACACGTCCACGTTCAAATTCAGCAAACCAGCGATAAATTGTGGTTTTGGATGGGGCTTCATCACCAAATGCAGAAATCATCCGGTCAACACACTGTTTTTGTGTTAAACCACTTCGAAAGTCATAATAAATCATCGCTCTTAAATTTTCTCGAGTCAATTCCATTTTCTCAACGACTAAACAAGTTTGACAAAACCTTGTTACAAGACAGAGAATCTTTTTTTTAAATAAATTAAATGGTATTCGATTTTTAAAACCAAGGAGTTTTCAATTAAAAAGATTTTAATATGACAGGAACAGTGGAAATATTCTATTCCCGATACTTTTAGTGCAGCCCTCGTATGTAATATACTAAACTTTAATAAAAATGGAAGTTTTATTGTATTGGATTAAGATGGAAAAACGAGCACACAGTCGATCTGCTGGTAAGTGGATGCAGTCTCCCATAGTTTTTCAGTAAGAAGAGTCTCCGGTTTTCTAAGACTCACCATGCAAAACAACACAGCAGCATTAAGCTGGTATTTTGTGAGAGCATATTTCTTCCCCGGTCATGCCGACCCGTGCGTGCTGCAACCATAATATAGCTGTACATTAGCTACATATAGCTGTGCATTATCATTTTTGTTACGCAAATGACGCGCTCGTCAATCTCAATCATCTTTCATGTCTCATCATCTCAATCGGACTCAAACTACATGCATGCATTTGTTCCGTCCAGTTTCGCGAACCACTAAATGCTGATTGGCTATGTGTAGCACGGCGACGAGGAGCATAACGTGTATTGTAGACACAATACTCTCTGCCTCCTTTCCTCGTTACTTCCCATGTCACTCGACAAGTGTGCGGCCGAGGGTAAGATTAATTAGATGTTATTTGTGTTGTTGTAATACGCAATAGTTTCATATTTGTATAAATAGTAGAATGCGAATAAAAGTAAATAAAGTTGATAGCTTATAAACGTCCCACAGTTAGGCAATAAATATTAAAATTAAAAAATTATATTATACATATAAGAAATTACAAATGCGTGACATATTTACCGTGCCAGCTACACTCCTGCGCCTGTGACATAATTGCTTGTCTAGTAGTATTTATAGAAATCCTTGTGGATAGAGTTATTATCATTAAAAAATACAAAGAGCATAGGCACTTACTTTAATTTTCATCTTTATTTTACATTAGGTACATTTAATTTAATTTTATGAAAAGAAGTGTGTCGGGAGAATACGATCAGAAAAGAATCGAAAAGCTGTAACGTTTTTTGTTCTTATTTTTTTTGTACGAAAGACTCGTATATTAAAATTACATGATTCACAGTTTTCGCGCGGGACTATCCACTGAGAGTGCTATTTTTGCATTGAAGCACACTGTCAAATATTACACTGACAGGAAAACACCCGTATATGCTTGTTTCCTGGATCTTTCAAAAGCCTGGTTTCCTACAATGTTCTGTGGGGAAAGCTTCGTGAGGCGGGAGTTCCTGCTTCATTAGTGTCTACGTTATCTATGTGGTATGATAAGCAAAGAAATTTTGTTAGGTGGTCCAATGCATTGTCTGACCCGTATAAATTTGAGTGCGGTGTGAGGCAGGGGGGTTTACCTCTCCGAGGCTTTTTAATATCTACATAAATAAGCTGATTGAGGAGCTTAGCAGCACACATGTTGGTTGTCATATAGATGGAGTATGTCTAAATAACTTGAGCTACGCAGACGACATGGTGCTGCTGAGCCCGTCAATCTGTGGAATACGAAAGTTGCTTTCCATTTGTGAGAATTATGCTGAGCAGCATGGATTAAAATATAATGCTAAAAAAAGCGAACTGTTGGTTTTCAGAGGTAGAAATAAAAGTCCAATATGTGTTCCTCCAGTAAAGCTTAACGGTTCACTGTTACAGAGAGTAACTCATTTTAAATACCTGGGTCACATTGTCACAGAGGATTTAAAGGATGATCTAGATATCGGAAGGGAACGCAGCGCGCTAGCTGTGAGAGGTAATATGGTGGCTCGAAGGTTTGCTGCTTGCTCTGTACCAGTTAAAATTACACTGTTCAAGCTTACTGCCAATCATTTGATACCAGCAGCCTTTGGGCCAACCATACCCAAAAGGAAAGCAATACCCTGCGTATTCAATATAACAATGCCTTCAGGTTATTGTTGGGGCTTCCACGTCATTGTAGTGCATCAGGCATGTTCGCCGATGCGCATACTGATGACTACTTCGCGATCATGCGTAAAAAATGGAGTCATTAATGCGCAGAGTGAGGGGGAGCTCAAACAGTATCTTGAGGGTCTTTGCGGAGAGGCTCGATGGCCCGACACTTGGTAGGTTTGTCAAGCCACATGTACTAAAGTGAGTTTGATAAATCTATCAAATTTGTATGCATTTTGTGAATTTTAATTTTTATTTTGTTTTATTTAATTGTTTCGTGTACTAACATTAGTTCTTAAGTTTTATTTGTATTACTAACCTGCTATGGGCCTACGATGCCTGAACAATAAAACATTTTTATTTTTTATTTATTTCATCATTTATTCCACGTAAAATACTTACGCAAGCGATGGGAAGCCAAACATCCTAAACATCTGGCACTGCCGTATGTCTGGGCTTATACATATATAAAATATATACATAAATGAGCGCCTTACGTCCATTTTTATGTACACTACAAAGTAGAAAATACGCTAAATTTAATGAGCGTACGATTTAGCTTTAGACCTTAACTATAATGGCAATGTTTTAATGAACACTTAGGTACTAAAGCAACATTAGCTCTAAAGTCGGAGTTGGACAGATATATAGATTCCTTATCATTTTGTACTCGAATGCCTCAGAGGGAAGGTAATGTTTTTCGAGTATATGTTTGTATAAATGAATGCATGTCTATTTCCTTGGCACCTTCTTTAGCCTTAACGGTTTGATGGATTTGAACATTGGACTTAGTTGTGGAAAACATAGGATATAATATTTGCATTCTTATCATTTCAGTAGACTTTTAAACATACGAGTTAATTACTTTTTACCACACGGCTTATATTTTCAACACTTTAATAATTTAAATCTATACAAATTCAAACACTGAGCATATTTCATTTTTGGCCCTTCGAGCCAGATCGCACTCCACACGGGTAAATTTAAAAATTGTCTCTTACAGTCACTGTAAGACAGGCCCTTTAGACGGGCAGTCTGTTTTTTCAGCAACCCCGTTGCAGGTTGATGGCTGCCACGCAGCGCGCGATGCAGACCTCCGTCGGCAGCCGCGACTTCATTCCCAGCTCGAATACGCGCGCCAGTATACGGCCAGCGTGTTCTTGAATGCCTACGATTAGCTCCGCCATCTTATCCAATGCGGATTGCGCAACTTCCGGCTGATTCGAGTCCAGGCATTCCATGATAGCTTGGAGACCTGTCGAGTTGTTAAATAATTAATGAAAGGCGATAAGGTGGCAGATTCCTCTTTTACTTAAGGCTATAAGATAGAGAATTACAAAGTGTATTCTTTTTAAACGATTTGACCAAACCATGTAAAGTATAATTAAGATAAATTCTGTAATAATATAAATAAATGATTAAATCTTCCGTCTAATATTTAAGTTTATGATTGTAATATAATACTCTACATACATAGAAATGTAATTTTTAACGCATTCACTACTTGTATAAAATAAAATATATTAATTTAAGCTAAGGGAAACCACTAATTTCTTAAAGGGGTGTAATGATGATGAATGCGTGTGTGCGTCGCTATCTATGTTGAGTGAAGCACACGAGCGACGTGTGAGGCTATTGAAGCATTGCTGTCGGGCGGTGCGTGTGATAGGTATGACGAGTGAAGCACTACACATTGAGTTAAAACTACTTTTACAGATTTTATCGCGTTTAGTTTATTTGATTTTTTAATTCCCGATGTTTCGTGTGTTTTCCAGCACCTATGGTCACGGGGGCCCCCGTAATCCGTAAAAGTAGTTTTAATTAATGAGTAGTGTTAGCGTAAATATAAGAAATCAATTGAAGTCTATATCTGTGTTAGTAAAGCACTCCTCTCGGATGCTGTGTGTAGTGTGCCCTATGTGTGTGTGTGTGTGTGTGTGTGTGTGTGTGTATGTGTGTGTGTGTTTGTGTGTGTGTGTGTGTGTGTGACAGTTGGTGTGTGTGTAATGATGATGAATTTGTGTGTGCAGCACTAAGCGGACTCGAAGCTCGGGCACTTAATGATTTTTTCGGCGGGCAGCAGGCGCGCCAGCAGCGAGAGCACGGCAGCGCGCAGCGGAGCGTGCGGCGCGGCGGCGAGCGGTATGGTGTGGTGTGTATGAAAGTAGTGGCGTGTGTGGCGCGTGTGGCAGCACTGACCGGGCTCGACGTCGGGCGTGGCGGGTAGCAGGTGCACCAGCAGCGAGAGCGCAGCAGCGCGCTGCGGAGCGTGCGGCGCGGCATCGAGCGGTATAGTGTGGTGTGTATGAAAGTAGTGGCGTGTGTGGTGTGGGTAGTAGAAATGACCGGGCTCGACGTCGGGCGCGGCGGGCAGCAGGCGCACCAGCAGCGAAAGCGCGCTGCGGGACGTGCGGCGCGGCGGCGAGCGGTATGGTGTGGTGTGTATGAAAGTAGTGGCGTGTGTGGCGCGTGTGGCAGCACTGACCGGGCGCGACGTCGGGCGTGGCGGGTAGCAGGCGCGCCAGCAGCGAGAGCGCAGCAGCGCGCTGCGGAGCGTGAGGCGCGGCATCGAGCGGTATAGTGTGGTGTGTATGAAAGTAGTGGCGTGTGTGGTGTGGGTAGTAGAAATGACCGGGCTCGACGTCGGGCGCGGCGGGCAGCAGGCGCACCAGCAGCGAAAGCGCGCTGCGGAGCGTGCGGCGCGGCGGCGAGGGGTATGGTGTGGTGTGTATGAAAGTAGTGGCGTGTGTGGCGCGTGTGGCAGCACTGACCGGGCTCGACGTCGGGCGCGGCGGGTAGCAGGTGCACCAGCAGCGAGAGGCAGCAGCGCGCTGCGGAGCGTGAGGCGCGGCATCGAGCGGTATAGTGTGGTGTGTATGAAAGTAGTGGCGTGTGTGGCGTGTGTAGTAGCAATGACCGGGCTCGACGTCGTGCGCGGCGGGCAGCAGGCGCGCCAGCAGCGAAAGCCGCTGGGAGCGTGCGGCGCGGGGCGAGCGGTGTGGTGTGGTGTGTATGACAGTAGTGGCGTGTGTGGCAGAACTGACCGGGTTCGACGTCGGGCGCGGCGGGCAACAGGCGCGCTAGCAGCGAGAGCGCAGCGGCGCGCAGTGGAGCGTGCGGCGCGGCGGCGAAAGGCGCGACCGCGCGCAGTAGTGACGCCGCACACTCGCGCCCGCCCCACCCCCCGCCCAGGCGCACTCCCCACGACTCAACCTCCTGACGAACAACACGCTCACATGTACCCAATTGTAAACACAAAATATAGCATGCACCGGTCACTGTACCGTATTCTCAAGTTAAGGCTGGCAACTTTACCAATAGAAGTTAACATTGTACCAGGGGTGTACTGTGTAGTATCTTCCAATTGTAAGTTTTATTTTTCCCGTTCTGATTTTATAATAAATCCTAAAAAAGGAACTTTAATATAAGACGTTCACGTATTAATCTCATGATGATGATTAAGTAGGGGAGGCGTACTGACCTGCAGGTGGCAGGCGAGCTCATCAGGCGAGGCGGTGCGGCGCTGCAGCGCCAGCAGCGCGTGCGCCGGCGCACTGCTCGCCTCCCCCCCGCCCCCGCCGCCACTCGCACCCGCGCACGCACTCGCCAGTGCAGCCGACGCCCTGCACGCACACCACACGTACCATCACAACACTGACTTAGGTTCATCTTCTAGGCCTAATAAGGGTGATAAACGAGCCCACGGTCCACCCGATGGTAAGTGGATGGTGTAACCCATAGTTATCTATAACAATCCTTATCATCTATAACAATCCTTGTGATCTATAACAACGTTCAAAATGAAGATGATTTCAATTCGATAATGATACCAGTAAGTATTTATGGGCTTATTTTTATATAAATATAAGGTCGGGGAAAAAGTTTCTTCATATTTTACAAACAAATTCAAGACTCTACAAAGCACGTACGCGATGGTGTCCCTGTGCTTGTGCAGCAGCGGTGCGGCTCGCTGCGGGCGCGCGGCCGCGTAGCGCCGCAGCAGCGCGCCTACACGTTGTGCCACCGCGCCGCCGTCCGCCCCGCGCGCACCACCACCACCACCCTGCCTGATGATCTGCAGGAAGCAGTCCAGGATCTCGTGCAACTCCTCCCTGCAATTACATACCCGATCAAGTAAAATACTTTGTTAACGGTTAAAACTAACGTTTCAACAGAAATAAACTGTTTGAAAATATCGTATTTTGAGGTCATAGTTTTTATAGTTTATAGTAATTTTGATTTAAACTACTTTTACGGATTTTATCGCATTTAACTTATTTTATTTTTAATTTCTAACCTTCAGTTGCTTTCCAGCATCCATGGTCATGGTGGACTGAGGTGACTGACGTCCTGATGTTAGTGTTAGCCCGGAGTACCATCATTTTTTAATTATTATGTATGGTCCGATCTACGTAGAATGAACTCATTGTGTTTGAAGTCTTACAGTGGTATGCTTGGGTTTCGTTTTAATTTTACTAATTACAGGGTCTCAAGCAGGTGATAATACTCAGTCTCTTCTCTATTGAAATTAGGATGTTATTTTACTTTTAATAGCCTCCCGTATCATCCTTGGTAGAAATCGATGTTCTTTCGCAAGGATTTGTGGTGTATCAAATTCGGTCGGTACACATTTTGTTCGCAATGTCTGTTTTTGTACGTAGTACATATTATTATAATAAGCATTTGCGCGTGTACATTTTTCATACTGCAGGCTAATGTAATGTAAATATTCAATGAATGACGAAGGTTAATTATATATACGAGGGTGGATTGAAAAGTACTCGGCCTAACCAAGAAAATAAACACATACTAAATCAGTTATATTTTTATTTTTCTACATAATCACCATCAAGTTCAATACACTTTTGCCACCTCCCCTTCCAAGCATTTAGACCGTTGAAAAAAAATGATTCTTCCTTAGAGTCAAAATATGTGTCTACAGCTGCTTTGACCTCGTCGTTTGTCGAAAATCTTTGACCTCCCAAGTGCTTTTTTAGGTTAGGGAACAGAAAGAAGTCTGATGGTGCCAGATCAGGTGAATACGGCGGATGCGGTAACAGTTCAAAGCCACAGTTGTGAATTTCAGCCATTGACTGTACTGACGTGTGAACACGGGCGTTATCTTGATGAAACAGGACATTTCTTCTGAGCATTCCTCGACGATTTTCTTTTATTTCCTCTCGTAAACGACGTAGTAAGGTGCAGTAGTAATCAGAGTTTATAGTCTGACCCCTTTCAAGATAATCAATCATAATCACACCTTTCGAGTCCCAGAATACTGAAGCCATCACCTTATTTGCCGACAAAATCGACTTAGCCTTTTTTAGGGGGTGGTGAACCAGGTCTTCTCTACTGTTTTGATTGTTGTTTTGTTTCCGGTGTACAGTAATGAACCCATGTTTCGTTCATAGTAACAAAACGATTCAAAAAATCATCTGCATCGGCTTCAAATAACTCCAAACAGTCGCGTGAAATAGTCAATCGCGTCCTTTTTTTGTTCAACTAAAAGCAGTCGCGGAACCCACCTCGCAGACACCTTGTGGAAACCCAACTCGTTGACAATGATGTTTTGAGTGCGTTCATAAGAGATGCCTATAATCTCGGCTATCTCTCTAATTTTTAATCTGCGGTCTCCCATTATTAAATCAAGTACTTTTTTAATATTTTCGTCAGTAGTTGACGTCGAAGGCCTTCCAGAGCGGGGTTCATCTTTCACACTCTCTCTACCACGCTTAAATTCTGCTATCCATTTTTTGACGGATGAATATGACAGAGCACAATCGCCTAATGTACTGACCATGTCATCATGGATGGCTTTTGATGATAGCCCCTTCTTATGGAGGTACTTAATGACGGCACGCTGCTCGATTTGCTCCATTCGCGGAAATTATGTCCGATTACTCTGTTAATAAATTTATAAAATCACAACTAATTATCGCACACGTTTCGAACTTCACACAATGAACTAGTCTGAACTGAACTAAATAATGTGGGTAGATTTGATTTTTAGAATTGAATGGATCTGTGTTAGGCCGAGTACTTTTCAATCCACCCTCGTAGGAGAAATTAGTTACAAGAATGTTTACTGCACCCAACTCGCGCTCTTGTACTTTTTAAATTGAGTGTTTCGCATGTCAAGACTTTATATTTTATTAAAATTAGAAAGGTATAAAATGCGTGTACGTACGGGCGGGGTTTGTGAGCAGTTAATCGTTAAGTACAACATAAATGCGTGTAGTTTGAACAGTTCGCAAGGTGCGATGTATTTTTGTGGCGTTGTGTGCGAGCAGCTGGCCACGAAGCGAGTAGGTGCGCGTGGAAAGAAGCATAGAGCAAGTGTAAGAGGTGTGTGTACGTACACGGCGTGGTCTGCGAGCAGCTGGTCGTCGGGTAGCACCTCGAGCGCGGCCAGCAGGTGCGCGTGCGGCGGCGCGCGCGCGTGCTCAGCGCGCAGGCCGCGTAGCAACGCGCCGCACAGGGCCAGCGCGCGTGCACCAGCCCCCGACACGCGCGCCCACACCGCGCGCGCCAGCGCCTCCAGCCGCCACGCCCTGCGCACAACACCCACCTCGTACAACACCTTCAAAAACAGCCTTATTTTATTCTAAATATATCCAAATTACATTTTTAATTTCAAATATACAGGGTTATTTTTCAAAGAGTAACCAAATTTTACATTACAAACGAATCAAAAATCCGATTTCAAACACAAATTAATTCGTATCGATTTTTCAAACTAGAAAATCCGATTTTAATAATCGACCTAACTAAGCTAAACTAACGATCTGTACCACCAAACGAATCCGAATCGACAATAAAATCAACAATATCCAAATCCAAATGCAAACTGATTCGTAGAAATCCCCTTTCTCAGTTTCTTCTAACCAAACATAATATAGCGGAATGACAAAGATGACGTGAGTTTTATTTTATTTATATATATATATATATATATATATATATATATATATATATATATATATATATATATATATATATATATATATATACTTTCGCCGGGCAAGGTGTTCAGCCCGATGAGCGGCAATTCGGAGCCATTCTATATACACTGTTTTACTTCGGAACTTTGATAGCGCGATTTAGGCTAAGATGTGTTTCGCTTGTGGCGCGGTGACAGCGTCGCCACAATTTCAACTTTTTTTGTTGTATTCGATCCATAGTATACCTTTGGAATCCCAAAACACTGTGGCCATGATTTTACCGGCCGATGAAGTTTGAACTTCTTGGGGGATCTGATCCCTTTTTATGCCACTGCATAGACTCGTGTTTACTCTACGTTTCATCTCCTGTAATTATCCTATCGAAAACACTTTTTGAGTCGTCACCATACAGCTCTAAGAACTTCCTACAACAGTCAACCCGCGTCTGTTTTTAAAGCGCTGTGAGCATTCGCGGCACCCATGTTGCACTGACTTTTGTGAGGTTGAGATAGACAGGCAATATGGTGTCATTTCTGCTAACATCTTAATTCTTACTCGTGCATCTTTTAATACAAGTTTTTCAGTAAATTTCACATTTTCTTCTGTAGCCTATGTGATTGGCTCACCCGGGCGGGGGTTATCTTCGATGCTTTCTCTGCTTCTTCTGAATTCACTTGACCACTTATATACGCTTAACATCAGAGGTGCAGTCTTGGTAAACGGCCACCATTTCTTATTGTTTTTTTTAGTTTTTCCTTGTTTAGTGAGGAATTTAATTACCTCACGGTGTTCGATTTTTTTCAACATTGTCGAGTCAGTCATTCCCGTCGTCTACGACTGAAGAGTAACATAAGAAGTAATGAAGTTATCTAAATGAAATTTCGTATTTATGGGTTTTTTTTTGGATGCTTATGGGGATTTTTTATTACCTATATTATTAGAAATTCACTTTCAATGTAGTTACAGCAATATTGAAAGCCCCTCTATCATGTACAAAATAAACGGTTTTTTGATTCGACATACACTACAGACTGTTGAAAAAGAAACATTAGAAATAACACAAAATTAACTGCTCATGCAATCAATCTGTTAGTAAATATTTTGTTGGGAACATTTTAAAATTCTTTGACCACAATATCCACTCTGCGTAACTGTTTGACCGTAGATAATTATGTGTTTGATTCATTACGAACAAAAATAATTTAAACAATAACTCACCAACCTTTTCTCATTAAACATAATCAATGTTAGATTGTCAAAAATAACGTTAGCTATTTACAAAACAAAAAATAATCTATAAGCCCGCTAAGCAATCAATTAAAGTAGTTTCGAAGAATTGACCTTAACTTAGTGCGCAATATAATGAAACCGCAGAACCGGTTTAGTAGTACACGTAGAGGTGCTTGAAAAAAAGAGTCACCTCTGGGTCATGTCTTTAGAGTGTGCGTGCGTAGCGGCGAGCGCGGTGAGCAGCGCGTGCGACACGCGGTCCGTGGCGCTGGTGGAGGCGCGTGCAGCTCGCGCCAGCGCTGCGTCTGGCTGCTGCAGCGCCCGCAGCGCTGCGCTGCTGCACCCGCGCTGCTCGCACTCGCGCACCAGCTGCGCCACCTTCGGCACCTGTACACCGCGGTACACTAAGAGCTCGCTCGATCTCCATGAGGGCTAACAATCTTTCGCTCACCAGATGTCGTTATTTGAGACTGAGCTGAAGTTTTTTGCTAACGCATAGTCATTTAATTGAGAACTTAAAAAAAGGTTTAATGTAAGTTTATCAGTTTCTAAAGTATTGTTACGAGCTTGAGGTTCGTGACGATAAAAACTGCCGATTGAATTACCAAAATTAACACTTTAATTCACTTTACACTAATTAAACTTAAAACACTAATAATTAATCACACTGATTCACTTTATTCCGCTCCGAAACTTCGCTTGTCTCGCCAAATTCAATACTTCCCCGATCGCACCTTGCAGCGCCTATAAATACACATTAGCACCGAAACATCCAGAACATTTAAGTAAATACGCGCAAGGCGTCGAAAGTTCGAGTGTCGGCGTCTAGAAACTTAGAAGCCGACACTCGAACAATGCTTTCGGTTATAATATTATATTTTTTAATATTATACTCACGTCAATTATCGCGCAATATTATAATATTATACTCAGTGGTTCGCTGTATATTTTTTTTACTTTTCTACTTTTTGGAATATCTGTAGTTTGTTTTATTTGTTTCTAACCTAATTACCAAAAAAAAAATATAACGAATATTACAGAAAAAAACATTAACCTGTTGAATTAAATTGAAATTTGTCAAATATCTCTCACTCAAAAATGACGACGCCCTGATGGAAGCAAATGTCGTGGATGCCTCATTGTAAGCGCGCTTATATTATCCATACATTATAGCCTATCATAAGTCCACTAATGAACATCCTCTCCATAGACTGCTACACTTTTTTATAGTACGAGGGTGACCAACGAGCACACAGTCCGAGTATTTCGATATTACTTCAATTTTGTTTGTATGTTTAGTTTTTCACGTATTAATCAGTCCCCATATCGCTTGTATGTGTCGTAACAGGCGTTACATGAAATACCTTCAAGTAGAGGAGCACGTACCTTCATGTAGAGCAGCAGAAGCAACAACGGGTGCGCTGACAGCGCTGCAGCCAGCAGCGCGTGCGGAGTGCTGCAGCAGCGCAGCAGCAGCGGTAACCGCGCCTCAGCGCAGCGACGCGCCTCCTCTGCACTATTCGCCGCAGCACACTCCGCACCCACGTACCCGATCAACACCTCCAGCTGCAAAATCAAGGTATCATAATGACGTTTTATTATCCTAGTTGATCATATTATTCTTCGTAGCGCAGTACCATAGCAATGAGTTCTAGCTCTTGGGGCTGCGGGTTCAAATCAGGCATGGAACAAGTATTTGTAAGGCCGTAGGTATACGAGTTCCGGGTCTACAATAATCTTCTCAATGTATTAATAGTGGCAGGTGATGACTTGCCGTTTACTAAATGGGCACCTCATACCGCAATCTTAACTGGTTGTGAGGCGCAACAGTGGTGTAAACGACTAAGGTTGTAGACAGGTGAGTCTGCGGGCTGAGGATCCTAATATTGTCAGCATCCTTCCGGAGTTATAACATTTTACACTTCGACACTTTAAGCTTAGAGCTCCAGACTAGGTCAAGCCAAAGGTAGATAATTACAAACCTCCCGGGAGAACTCGTTTATGCCTCGTGATATCGGCACTTACCAACAGCTCGCCACAAGCTGCCTGCGGGCTTATTATAGGGGTATAATATATATAGTACTATTAACACGCACTGGATATACTCAAAAGGCTTATAACGCCCTCAGAGTAATACGATAACGCGTTTAGGGTACTACTGGGGTTGCCTCGCTTCTGTAGTGCAGGGATGTTTGCGGAAGCGCGAGTGAATTGCTTTTACGCGACTATGTGCAAGAGGTGCGCGTCCCTGTGAGTGCTGGGGAGCAACAATAACATCTGTAGTGCCATATCGTGAATGGTGAGGAAATGGCACATATAAATGAATTGTTTTTTTCTCTCAAATATTGTAATAAATAATATTATACCTACTAATATTTACATAATTTAATATGTAATACTAACAAATTATGAGTCTTAGTTACTTACATAATTATTACTGAGAACCTGTTATTGCTTTCTTGTAAATTTAACATGTGTATTTACTTAAGATTTGCTTAAGCTGTTGGTTTGCCATAACACAAAAATAAAATAAATAAACAAATAAATTCTTTCTCTCCTTTCTTCTACTGGAGCAGCGCGGCGGATTTACTAATCTATAATCTTCTCAGAAATTAGAAGATGCATGTGCGCCAGCATATAGAAAATTCAACAATATTTTTTTAATTTTATATGCGGAATACCTTTGTAACAACTATGTTAAAGTTAAAGTTACAGCCTATATACGTCCCACAGCTGGGCACAGGCCTCCTCTTATTTCTGAGAGGGTTTAAGGGCACGGAAGTGTCCACCACGCTGCCCCAATGCGTGTAGGCGAACCACCATGAAATATTTTCTTTTTATTTCTCAGACATGCAGGTTTCCTCACGATGCCAGCTGCAGTGCCGCCAACACACTCAACTGACCCGCTCGTGCGTGAGGCGCAGGATGTCCTCGGGCTCTTGGTGCTTGGGTGTGGCGCGGTCGCGGCCCTGCCGCACGCGCGGGCTGTGCACCAGCGCTTCGCCAGCTGCAGCGCCGGCAACACACTCAACTGACCTGCTCGTGCGTGAGGCGCAGGATGTCCTCGGGCTCGTGGTACTTGGGTGTGGCGCGGTCGCGGCCCTGCCGCACGCGCGGGCTGTGCACCAGCGCTTCGCCAGCTGCAGCGCCGGTAACACACTCAACTGACCCGCTCGTGCGTGAGGCGCAGGATGTCCTCGGGCTCGTGGTACTTGGGTGTGGCGCGGTCGCGGCCCTGCCGCACGCGCGGGCTGCGCGCCAGCGCTTCCGCCAGCTGCAGCGCCGGCAACACACTCAACTGACCTGCTCGTGCGTGAGGCGCAGGATGTCCTCGGGCTCGTGGTGCTTGGGCGTGGCGCGGTCGCGGCCCTGCCGCACGCGCGGGCTGCGCGCCAGCGCTTCCGCCAGCTGCAGCGCCGGCAACACACTCAACTGACCCGCTCGTGCGTGAGGCGCAGGGTGTCCTCGGGCTCGTGGTGCTTGGGCGTGGCGCGGTCGCGGCCCTGCCGCACGCGCGGGCTGCGCGCCAGCGCTTCCGCCAGCTGCAGCGCCGGCAACACACTCAACTGACCTGCTCGTGTGTGAGGCGCAGGGTGTCCTCGGGCTTGTGGTGCTTGGGCGTGGCGCGGTCGCGGCCCTGCCGCACGCGCGGGCTGTGCACCTGCGCTTCGCCAGCTGCAGCGCCGGCAACACACTCAACTGACCTGCTCGTGTGTGAGGCGCAGGGTGTCCTCGGGCTCGTGGTGGTTGGGCGTGGCGCGGTCGCGGCCCTGCCGCACGCGCGGGCTGTGCACCAGCGCTTCGTCAGCTGCAGCGCCGGCAACACACTCAACTGACCTGCTCGTGCGTGAGGCGCAGGATGTCCTCGGGCTCGTGGTGCTTGGGCGTGGCGCGGTCGCGGTTCTGCCGCACGCGCGGGCTGCGCGCCAGCGCTTCCGCCAGCTGCAGCGCCTCCAACACACTCAACTGACCCGCTCGTGCGTGAGGCGCAGGGTGTCCTCGGGCTCGTGGTCCTTAGGCGTGGCACGGTCGCGGCCCTGCCGCACGCGCGGGCTGTGCAAGCGCTTCGCCAGCTGCAGCGCCGGCAACACATTCAACTGACCTGCTCGTGTGTGAGGCGCAGGGTGTCCGCGGACTCGTGGTGCTTGGGCGTGGCGCGGTCGCGGCCCTGCCGCACCCGCGGACTGCGCGCCAACGCTTCCGCCAGCTGCAGCGCCTCCAACACACTCAACTGACCCGCTCGTGCGTGAGGCGCAGGGTGTCCTCGGGCTCGTGTTGCTTGGACGTGGCGCGGTCGCGGCCCTGCCGCACGCGCGGGCTGCGCTCCAGTGCCTCCGCCAGCTGCAGCGCTACCAACACACTCAACTGACCTGCTCGTGCGTGAGGCGCAGGGTGTCCTCGGGCTCGTGGTGCTTGGGCGTGGCGCGGTCGCGGCCCTGCCGCACCCGCGGACTGCGCGCCAGCGCTTCCGCCAGCTGCAGCGCCTCCAACACACTCAACTGACCCGCTCGTGCGTGAGGCGCAGGGTGTCCTCGGGCTCGTGGTGCTTGGGCGTGGCACGGTCGCGGCCCTGCCGCACGCGCGGGCTGTGCACCAGCGCTTCGCCAGCTGCAGCGCCGGCAACACACTCAACTGACCTGCTCGTGCGTGAGGCGCAGGGTGTCCTCGGGCTCGTGGTGCTTGGGCGTGGCGCGGTCGCGGCCCTGCCGCACCCGCGGACTGCGCGCCAGCGCTTCCGCCAGCTGCAGCGCCTCCAACACACTCAACTGACCCGCTCGTGCGTGAGGCGCAGGGTGTCCTCGGGCTCGTGGTCCTTGGGCGTGGCACGGTCGCGGCCCTGCCGCACGCACGGGCTGTGCACAGCGCTTCGCCAGCTGCAGCGCCGGCAACACACTCAACTGACCTGCTCGTGTGTGAGGCGCAGGGTGTCCTCGGGCTCGTGGTGCTTGGGCGTGGCGCGGTCGCGGCCCTGCCGCACCCGCGGACTGCGCGCCAACGCTTCCGCCAGCTGCAGCGCCTCCAACACACTCAACTGACCCGCTCGTGCGTGAGGCGCAGGGTGTCCTCGGGCTCGTGGTGCTTGGCGTGGCACGGTCGCGGCCCTGCCGCACCCGCGGACTGCGCGCCAGCGCTTTCGCCAGCTGCAGCGCCTCCAACACAGTCAACTGACCCGCTCGTGCGTGAGGCGCAGGGTGTCCTCGGGCTCGTGTTGCTTGGACGTGGCGCGGTCGCGGCCCTGCCGCACGCGCGGGCTGCGCTCCAGTGCCTCCGCCAGCTGCAGCGTTACCAACACACTCAACTGACCTGCTCGTGCGTGAGGCGCAGGGTGTCCTCGGGCTCGTGGTGCTTGGGCGTGGCGCGGTCGCGGCCCTGCCGCACGCGCGGGCTGTGCAAGCGCTTCGCCAGCTGCAGCGCCGGCAACACACTCAACTGACCTGCACGTGTGTGAGGCGCAGGGTGTCCTCGGACTCGTGGTGCTTGGGCGTGGCGCGGTCGCGGCCCTGCCGCACCCGCGGACTGCGCGCCAACGCTTCCGCCAGCTGCAGCGCCTCCAACACACTCAACTGACCCGCTCGTGCGTGAGGCGCAGGGTGTCCTCGGGCTCATGGTGCTTGGCGTGGCACGGTCGCGGCCCTGCCGCACCCGCGGACTGCGCGCCAGCGCTTTCGCCAGCTGCAGCGCCTCCAACACACTCAACTGACCCGCTCGTGCGTGAGGCGCAGGGTGTCCTCGGGCTCGTGTTGCTTGGACGTGGCGCGGTCGCGGCCCTCCCGCACGCGCGGGCTGCGCTCCAGTGCCTCCGCCAGCTGCAGCGCTACCAACACACTCAACTGACCTGCTCGTGCGTGAGGCGCAGGGTGTCCTCGGGCTCGTGGTGCTTGGGCGTGGCACGGTCGCGGCCCTGCCGCACGCGCGGGCTGTGCACAGCGCTTCGCCAGCTGCAGCGCCGGCAACACACTCAACTGACCTGCTCGTGTGTGAGGCGCAGGGTGTCCTCGGGCTCGTGGTGCTTGGGCGTGGCGCGGTCGCGGCCCTGCCGCACCCGCGGACTGCGCGCCAGCGCTTCCGCCAGCTGCAGCGCCTCCAACACACTCAACTGACCCGCTCGTGCGTGAGGCGCAGGGTGTCCTCGGGCTCGTGGTGCTTGGCGTGGCGCGGTCGCGGCCCTGCCGCACCCGCGGACTGCGCGCCAGCGCTTTCGCCAGCTGCAGCGCCTCCAACACACTCAACTGACCCGCTCGTGCGTGAGGCGCAGGGTGTCCTCGGGCTCGTGTTGCTTGGACGTGGCGCGGTCGCGGCCCTGCCGCACGCGCGGGCTGCGCTCCAGTGCCTCCGCCAGCTGCAGCGCTACCAACACACTCAACTGACCTGCTCGTGCGTGAGGCGCAGGATGTCCTCGGGCTCGTGGTACTTGGGTGTGGCGCGGTCGCGGCCCTGCCGCACGCGCGGGCTGTGCACCAGCGCTTCGCCAGCTGCAGCGCCGGCAACACACTCAACTGACCTGCTCGTGCGTGAGGCGCAGGATGTCCGCGGGCTCGTGGTGCTTGGGCGTGGCGCGGTCGCGGCCCTGCCGCACCCGCGGACTGCGCGCCAGCGCTTCCGCCAGCTGCAGCGCCTCCAACACACTCAACTGACCCGCTCGTGCGTGAGGCGCAGGGTGTCCTCGGGCTCGTGGTGCTTGGGCGTGGCGCGGTCGCGGCCCTGCCGCACCCGCGGACTGCGCGCCAGCGCTTCCGCCAGCTGCAGCGCCTCCAACACACTCAACTGACCTGCTCGTGCGTGAGGCGCAGGGTGTCCTCGGGCTCGTGGTGCTTGGCGTGGCGCGGTCGCGGCCCTGCCGCACCCGCGGACTGCGCGCCAGCGCTTTCGCCAGCTGCAGCGCCTCCAACACACTCAACTGACCCGCTCGTGCGTGAGGCGCAGGGTGTCCTCGGGCTCGTGTTGCTTGGGCGTGGCGCGGTCGCGGCCCTGCCGCACGCGCGGGCTGCGCTCCAGTGCCTCCGCCAGCTGCAGCGCTACCAACACACTCAACTGTCCTGCTCGTGCGTGAGGCGCAGGGTGTCCTCGGGCTCGTGGTGCTTGGGCGTGGCACGGTCGCGGCCCTGCCGCACGCGCGGGTTGTGCACCAGCGCTTCGCCAGCTGCAGCGCCGGCAACACACTCAACTGACCTGCTCGTGTGTGAGGCGCAGGGTGTCCTCGGACTCGTGGTGCTTGGGCGTGTCGCGGTCGCGACCCTGCCGCACGCGCGGGCTGCGCGCCAGCGCTTCCGCCAGCTGCAGCGCCTCCAACACACTCAACTGACCCGCTCGTGCGTGAGGCGCAGGGTGTCCTCGGGCTCGTGGTGCTTGGACGTGGCGCGGTCGCGGCCCTGCCGCACGCGCGGGCAGCGCTCCAGCGCCTCCGCCAGCTGCAGCGCTACCAACACACTCAACTGACCTGCTCGTGCGTGAGGCGCAGGGTGTCCTCGGGCTCGTGGTGCTTGGGCGTGGCGCGGTCGCGGCCCTGCCGCACGCGCGGCCTATGCTCCAGCGCCTCCGCCAGCTGCAGCGCTACCAACACACTCAACTGACCTGCTCGTGTGTGAGGCGCAGGGTGTCCTCGGGCTCGTGGTGCTTGGGCGTGGCGCGGTCGCGGCCCTGCCGCACGCGCGGGCTGCGCGCCAGCGCTTCCGCCAGCTGCAGCGCCTCCAACACACTCAACTGACCCGCTCGTGTGTGAGGCGCAGGGTGTCCTCGGGCTCGTGGTGCTTGGACGTGGCGCGGTCGCGGCCCTGCCGCACGCGCGGGCTGCGCTAGTGCCTCCGCCAGCTGCAGCGCTACGCAACACACTTAACTGACCTGCTCGTGCGTGAGGCGCAGGGTGTCCTCGGGCTCGTGGTGCTTGGGCGTGGCGCGGTCGCGGCCCTGCCGCACGCGCGAGCTGCGCTCCAGCGCCTCCGCCAGCTGCAGCGCTACCAACACACTCAACTGACCTGCTCGTGCGTGAGGCGCAGGAGGTCCTCGGGCTCGTGGTGCTTGGGCGTGGCGCGGTCGCGGCCCTGCCGCACGCGCGGGCTGCGCGCCAGTGCCTCCGCCAGCTGCAGCGCTTCGCGCGCACTCCACCCGCTGCAGCCACCACAATAACATTACACCACTCAACTCACATCTTGCTTTTATACTACTATTCAAACGCTTTAACGTGTGTTGGCGTAACAATATCCACCACCGCATACCGTCCCGTGAGTATCGTGAGAGGCGACAAAGGGAAACAAACCAGGATATGTACGGTAGCATTATCCTGATAATGACTTAAAAAAAATTGCGGTTGCCAGCCCGTCTCCCAAGAGCGGCAACTATGGCAAATATAGCTAGCCTATAAGGCAATCTGCGGGGGAGACCTACGTTAAGCAGTGCACTTTAATAACCTGTAACAGTAACCAAAAACGCTACTAAATTTTAAGATGTCACACATTTTGTACGATCACAATGTAGGCATTTGCAATGCTATTCTATCTATTCAATTTACACTGAACACATTATGCACATGAATAGACAAACGGAACAGAAACAAAGCTCCTTAAGAACGGGCTAAATTGTTATATTTTGGGGTTGTCAATAGTACAATTTAATAGTTATCCTTTATCTTGAAGAGTTGTGGAGACTATCCTATCTGCAGTAGCAGTTTATGGTGAAGATCATGTTTAGATACAAAATAAAATTAAAATACAAAGTTTAGAGTTCATGCTATTAACCGATAAAGAGTTCCCCCTTAAGGAGACAATGCTGGCTGCAGCAGGAATTCTTGGTAAAAATCGTGTTAAACTATCAAAATTAAACTAACATACAACATTTCGTGACCCTGATACTACCCGTTGAAGAGTTCCCTAATGAGGAGACAATCCTTGGCTGCAGCACCAGGTTATATCTATCATATTATTGCATTGTCACTGAATTTACGGTGTACAAAATTTCAACATCGGTAAGTGGTTGAAATCTTGAAATATGTGGACTAACACGCGTACCCACTACAAACCAACCCACCCACATACCTACAAATGTTTAGTAATATTGTTGCGCGCTATAATTAGCGCCTCGTATGTGACGGCTAATTATTAGCGCCATCTGGTATCAAGCAGCAGAAATAGGAGCGTCAAGATTTTTCTAGAACTCTCCCACTAGCACCATTTCTAGGAAGCCCCACACTGGAACTTTCTGCACCTGTTAGGTCGGGGCCGGTATTTGCTGAAATATTCTGGATGTTTCGGCGGAATAGCCCTATATAAAGCAGGCACGATCGGGGCAGTATTGAATCAGCGATACGAGCGAAGCTTTCGGAGCGAAATAAAGTGAACGAAAGTGAGCGAATAATAGTGTGATTTAAGTTTTAATTGGTGTTCAGTAATTAAAGTGTAAAGTTTGGTAACTCAATCGGCAGTTTTTATAGTCACGAACCCTAAGCTCGTAACAATATATTATAATATCAATAAAAAGGTAAAAAAACACACCGTGCAGTACCCTCTTTTTATTAAAAAAAAGGGATCATACAATAAAATAAAGGTACTAACATGAAAAAGTAGTTTACTTATACTCCTTGCTAAAGTTAAAGTATGATATATTTTTATCATTTCCATTATTATTCATACACTCAGTACAATAAACAACCATTATTAGTAATACCACGTTTTTACATAAAAATATTCAAACTTGCAATTCAAACAAACAATGTGCGTCGCACTGATCCTGAGATTTGTCAACTGGCTACGCCAGCGTAACCGGTTTTTTCCAGTCTCGCCGCGTACGCGACAAGAGGCCAGTGGTCATGCACACACGCCCCGCGTGCCTGTAGTAGTGCAACCGATTCGCGCGGTTGTATAAAGCTTTATCTCTGTTCTACTTATCAACTCATGTGCATTATGTATGCGTCGACATTTTGCTTTAAAATGTTTATTTTAGCCAGTACATGTACGGACGCCAACAAGGTCGCGTGTGCTAACATACCTAACATTTGTAAACATTACAATAATAAATATTCGTGCATTAACAGCGTTTTAAGTAACATTTACATAAAAAGGTGTTGAATACCACAACACTATCCTCTCGACTTTGCCAAAAGGCCAAAATGCTAATCAAACTGTATTTGTAGCATGAGTTCAGAGAGAGGTAATCTTTTCCTGCTTACGGTAATCATATCACATGATTTTACAAAATATCTTATAAATATCTTACAAAATCTTATTCTTCACTATTCCGATGATATCCCGGACGTCAGTTTAAGCGAGATTAGAATGGCTCTCCAGCACCTTAAAAACGGCAGGGCCCCAGGCGAGGATGGAATTACAGCGGAGCTTCTGAAAGCGGGTGGAACACCGGTACTTGAGGTCCTTCAAAGGCTCTTCAATTCCGTCCTCCTCCAGAGTACTCCATGGTGGCACTACTGTGCCACCATGGAGTACTCCGGAGTACCAGAGGCGTGGAGCAGAAGTGCGGTGGTCTTGTTCTTTAAGAAAGGCGACAACGCTCTCTTGAAGAACTACAGACCGATTTCCCTTCTGAGCCGCGTCTACGTGCTGTTTTCGAGAGTCATTACGAATCGTCTCGCACGCAGACTCGACGATTTCCAGCCTCCCGAACAAGCCGGTTTCCGAAAAGGCTTCAGTACCATAGACCACATGCATACCCTGCGGCAGATTGTACAGAAGACTGAAGAGTACAATCTGCCACTTTGCCTGGCGTATGTGGACTATGAGAAAGCCTTTGATTCCGTCGAAATTTGGGCGGTGCCGCAATCCCTTCAGCGGTGCCAAGTTGACTGTCGGTATATCGAAGTGCTGAAGTATTTGTACAGTAGGGCTACGATTGCTATCCGAGTACAGAACCAAAGCTCGAAAACTACGGTTCCAACTGCAGAGAGGTGTAAGACAGGGTGACGTTATATCCCCGAAACTCTTCACAGCTGCATTGGAAGACGTTTTCAAGCTACTGGACTGGAAAGGATACGGTATTAACATCAATGGCGAGTACATCACTCACCTTCGATTTGCCGACGATATAGTCCTTATGGCAGAATCGCTGGAGGACTTAAGCACTATGCTCAATGACCTCAATAGTGCCTCCCAACGGATAGGTCTTAAGATGAACATGGACAAAACAAAGATCATGTTTAATGTCCATGTCACACCTATGCCGGTAGTTGTTGGGAGCACTATGCTCGAAGTTGTTGACGAGTTCGTTTACCTGGGACAAATAGTCCGACTAGGTAAGTCCAACTTCGACCGAGAGCTCAATCGACGGATTCAACTCGGCTGGGCAGCGTTCGGGAAATTACGACATATCTTCTCGTCAGGTATACCTCAATCTCTAAAAACTAGATTGTACAACCAGTGCGCGTTGCCAGTGATGACTTACGGATCTGAGACGTGGTCCTTCACTGCTGGCCGTATGAGGACGCTCAAGGTCGCTCAGCGAGCTATGGAGAGGGCTATGCTCGGAGTTTCTCTGCGTGATAGACTCAGAAATGAGGATATCCGCAGTAAAACTAGAGTGACCGACATAGCCCAACGGATTAGTAAGCTGAAGTGGCAATGGGCCAGCCATATAGCTCGAAGAACCGATAACCGATGGGGAAGAAAGGTTCTCGAGTGGCAGCCTCGTACTGGTAGGCGTAGTGTAGGGCGACCACCCACTAGATGGAGCGACGACCTGGTAAGATATGCAGGAAGACGATGGATGCAGGTGGCTCAGGACCGTGCTTTGTGGCATTACTTGGGGGAGGCCTATTTTCAGCAGTGGACTTGTGAAGGGCTGTAATGATGATGAATGATGATCTTACAAAATATATTGTTAAATTTTTATATCCGTAGAACATCTATAAATATGTAAAAGAAACGTGTTCTAGTTTGACTTTAAGTAGTATCCATCCAAAACGGATATGAGGTGGACACAGTCACTTATGAATAGTGGCGCTGTTGTTGGTTTGTGGGGCAAGGTGTCTCTGACAATCTACGGATATGAAACAGTTTTATGCATGCTTCAAGGTTGGCTGCTTAAGAATGCTTAGCATTAAAAGTTCGTCTTTTTACCGGACTGCCAAGAAGTGGTTACGTTTTATACAAATACCTACCTACCTACTTATTAAAGTACTTACCTACTATTAACGTAATAATGAAAATTGTAATAACTCATGATTTATAAATAATAAACTTATATTAATATTAATTTGCTTTTTAATTCATTGGTACAGGATAATCTTCTTTCTTTATTATATAATCGACATAGGATCTGTAAAGAACTTCGCACCCGGCACCCTTATCTTTCACTCTGATGATGTATGTAATGATAAAAGGATAAAAAAATGAACCTAAACAAAAAAGATTGCCTACCCCGATGATTACGTCAAAGAGAAACGTACTATATTAATTTCCAATACAAAATGCGCCCGCCCACGTGTTGTGGTTGTGGTACGAGTGGGTAGACCCATAACTTTGCAAATTGAAAAAAAAAATGCAAAAAAAACCATCAACTGTATTCGGCCAAGGTTGATTTCCCAATCAATACTCAAATACTCACCCCTGAGGCTGAAGTAATGCGGTGAGACAGGAGTGCAGCGTCTTCCACGAGGCGCGGTGCGCCAGTAGAGTCACCAGCAGCGGCCGCCACGGAGCACCGCCTGCCACGAACATTAGCTGCATCTGTTCAAAATATTAAATACATATTTTAACTCAAGTGATCTTACTTACTTAACTCATAGCGTTAGTATGCTAGTCAAACTATTTACTGCCTCTCTGTCTGCATAGTAAACGTAAAATATTATAACAACAAACAACTGATGAAATTCATTAATTTGTGGTTACGGCGAAGAAGAATGTTAAATAAAGTAATTTTTTTAGTATAACTGCCTTAAGGTCTATTATATGCTATTTCAAGGTGTAGAGTGATCCTATAGGGAATTACAAGCGTGTTCAGTAAACCATTCTATATACTTTGGGAGATTATTCTGTGTGGATAATTTAACATCCAAAACGGCGTGACTTTACAATAAATGATAATTGAACGCAGTAAAATCCGTAATTTTAGTTCTATTCCATTTATTCGTAGTGGATTTCCGTAAAATAACGTCTGATATTATAGTTGCGCGCCCACAAATTAATGCCTGGTACATGGCGACACTAGTTGCCACTAGCGCCTTCTAGTATCGAGTAGCAGAACTAGGAGAGAACTAGATCGACACCTAGTTAGTCGGAACCGGTATGTACTCGAAAATTCTAGATGTTTCTACAGTAGAAGGTTTTGGAACTATCTGAGGCCCAATATAAGGCCGGTGTAGACCGCAACCCGGGTCAGTATCGAATTGGCATACAAGCGAATACTTCAAAGCGATACAACTGCGAAGTAAAGTTATCAGTAGTGAAATTGTGTTTTTTTATTAGTGTGGTTTTAAGTTGTAATTAGTGTTCTGCAATTAAAGTGTCAATTTCGGTAATTCACTCGGCAGTTTTTACTGTCTCAAACCCCAAGCTCGTAACACTATTAAGTATAAATCTTTGGTTTCGTGTCTCTGACATTACATCTCAATCTACCTGCAAGCTTATCGCGTAAATGTAAAAGCACCAAAACCTACCGAATCTAACCCGGAACAACTTAGTGCCTATGAAATACAATTATAATTTTAGGGCAGTAATGTGACATTAGGTAATATATGATCTACATTGGTGTACTCAGTAGGTGGGAGGTTACCTGTCTGCCGAGCGTCTCGCGCTGCAGCTCGGCCAGCCAGTCCAGCAGCAGGCCGCAGCCCAGGTCACGACGCGAGAACACGTGCGCCGTCGCCTTCTCCTCCGCTGCGCTCTCCATGGGTGTACTCAGCAGAAGGTGGGGGGTTACCCATCTGCCGAGCGTCTCGCGCTGCAGCTCGGCCAGCCAGTCCAGCAGCAGGCCGCATCCCAGGCCGCGCCACGAGAACACGTGCGCCGCCGCCTCCTCCTCCGCTGCGCTCTCGTAGTGTATGATGTTCATTGGTGTACTCAGCAGAAGGTGGGAGGGGGTACCTCTCTGCCGAGCGTCTCACGCTGCAGCTCGGCCAGCCAGTCCAGCAACAGGCCGCAGCCCAGGCCGCGCCGCGAGAACACGTGCGCCGCCGCCTCCTCCTCCGCTTCGCTCTCGCACTTCACCTGGTCAACACAAACTCATCAACAACTCCCTCAAGGCAAAAGTGAATAGTTTAAGCTGAGTCCGTATTCTTTTTCTCCTTTTGTATCCAGGCCCGCACCCTAACGGATAGCACGTATTACATTTTCAAATATACTATAAGAGAAATACAAGAATAAGAAATATTTCAACATGGCGTGCGTGCGTGTGTGACACGTTAGATGTCTATTGACTATCTAAATATAAATTAAATTGAAGGGCCTGTCCGTAATATTTAAATAACTACCCTTTATTGAGCTCAGTGGGTTATTTGCATACATTTTAAGGTTGCTCTAGTCGAAGGCACGAACTAAGTGGTGGGCGGGGTAAAAATGCATGCTATCTCAGCTGACATCTCGTGCGAAAGGGATAGACGCTGTGATGAGCAGTAAGAAGCTAGTGCGCACACACATACGCACTCGAGTGACGCAATGCGAGACGGCGTCATCGCGTACCTACCTATGCGATTCATTTTTGAATAATAACATGATGAGACCCTGAGATATTACCAAAAATTGTCGCCCGGTCGGCGTAATGAAGTCAAAATCGTTTTGTGGAACAGTCGGCACTGAACTATACACTTTCTGTAGAATAAAAGATTTATCTCTTTTATATAGGATAGGGTGACAAACGAGCACACAGGCCACCTGATGGTAAGTGATTGCTGTGGCCCATAGACATCTAGATCTATCCTCGTTTGCGAATAAAAATGTAATTTAGTAAATCAAATATAGTTTATGAGGGCCTACAATTAATAAATAGCAATATTAAAATAAATACGGAAAAACTTTATCAAGCTGATAAACTTTGAATGGATGGCATTGACTTTTGACATTACTTGAACATAGAAAATACTCTTACAATTAGAGTAGTTTAGTACAATTTAGTGATATGCTTTTGAAAAAAATCTCTTAAACGTTTTTTATAGAATAAGGCTGATTCTTCAAAATATATTTTTCGGTTGTTAAAACTACGGTTTCGTATTGAGAACATCATCTTATCATAATCACCAGTCCGTAAAAGTTAACCGCTGAACTCTCCGTTGCAGGCGGGATTTACTTTAATCTTCACTCTTGGCGGGTGGATTGAAGATCACAGTACTAGATAATAAACAGAACAGTAACGAAACATACTTTAAATAATCTGGTAAAATATATTTGGACTATATTCTATGTAGCTACTTTATAAATTATCAGGCACCCTATTTTCTTTCTTTTTCTATTATTGTGTGTGTGTGTGTGCGTGTGTGCGCGGCGGTGTGTTGTGTGTGTGTGTGTTTGTTGTGTGTGTGTGTGTGTGTGTGTGTGTGTGTGTGTGTGTGTGTGTGTGTGTGTGTGTGTGTGTGTGTGTGTGTATGTGTGTGTGCGCACTCATTTGTGTAGGGTTGTGTTGTTAGGATAATACTCTCAGTAAATTTTCAGCAGCCATATAACCGATATTTAGCAATCACTTCTGTAATTTTTGTTTACATGCATGTTTTGGTAAAGAGTAAATTGACAAAAGTTTATTCAATGTATTATAAAGGTAGCCTCCTAGGAAGCAAAAGCAAAAATATTTATGCGAAAATTTTGTCTTTAGAAGCTTACTGGGACAAACTACATATTTCCTTCTTTTGTCATTATTATAGGAGGACTCATACTGTATAAGAGAATGTTGTAGGAGCGTAGTGTGCAATATAAACAGTTTACGAACAGATAAGACATTACAATGTTGATAATGGTCAGTTGTAGGACAACGGAATGGAAGAGCATTGCTAACTTTTAATAGTGCCCTCTGAGCCCTTTCTAATTGCAATATTATCGTTGTAGGTGCCCCTCCCCAGATGGTAATGCAATATGTCAACAATGATTGGCACAGTGCAAAATATACCATATTTCTTACATTAAAATAAGCAACACGACGTAAATTTTTAAAAATATAAATTAACTTACGTATCCTTGTACTTAAGAGGCCAATATGAAGGTGAAAGCTTAGGGTGTTATCTATTATTACGCCAAGATATTTATGCAATTCGTTCTAGACAGGGTAGGACAGGAGCAAGGGCTTTCAATTTGGGAACAGTAGTGAGCTGTAATGTGAAAGTATTCTAACTCAGATACATTGATGTTTTGGGTAGTAAATGCTATGTATTTTGTTTTATCGACATTTAATGTAAGTTTAGACACACGCAAGACGCGTACGCGAAGGTATTTCCCTTGTGTGAAAAAGTCTGTGTGTTTTGCCGCTTTTGGCTACAACATCACATACCATCAGGTAGGATAGAATGAAACATGGACCAATATAAAAAAAAAAACTATTTAACCCATACTAGAACGTATCGAAGCTAAGATAGGTACGATTGCAATACGTACAATAATGTTTTAAAGCAGTTGACACTTCTTTTAAAGAAATTCTTCGACAATACACAGTCTATATATACCAGTATATACTGGTTGTAGACTGTAACACTATCTTGAGTAAAACTCCATTCGATTTTTATTTTTACATATATTTTTATTTATATACTTATATTCATAATTTTTTTATTATTTTCTATATGTATATTAGTATGTATGTGTATATATTTATTTACAATATATGTCTAGTTTTTTTAATATTTTTTAGCACCTACCTAATTCTCCCAGGGTGCTCGGGTAGAGAATGCCATAAGGCATTCAGTCCGCCCATTGTAACCCTTACATTAAGGTGTAACACAATAAATAATCTCCAAAGTATTTTTGTACTCATATCAACATCTAATTTTGTGTGTCGAGGCAAATGCGTTTTCAACTAGTTTTCCGCTTTTAAGCAACCACTGAATTTGTATGATGGTCACTTTATAGATTTGCCGTCCGAGTAAGATGGTAACCAAAGGGTTCAAGGCGTAGAAAGCAGATTGTTTTATATAATATAGAGGGCAGTTCGGTAACTTCAATTGTGTAATTTAGGCATTCTTGCACGCGGCCTTAGACTTTCCTTGTAAACACAGTATGTTTATGCTATTGTGGTGAGATGATAATTTAAAGATCTCAACCTAATGCTGATGTTTCTAGCTATTTGTTCAAAAACAACGCATCTTAAAAACTTCAATATTACGTTCTGTAATAATATTATATCATCAATACCTTTGTTTCGTAGTGTCCGTCCTGGCTTTTTTCCAACAGAATTGAAATGACTTCTACCACCAGCTGAGTGTCCTGTGTCTCGATGATGTAGTTGCCAACCGCCTCCAAAGTGTTCGGGGTCGTTGCTTCCAATGCTGATGATTCAAAAGTAACAATATGTAAAAAGATTAAGTAAAGAAACAATATAGTAAAGAAACAAATTAGCCTAGGCCTATTTTTTGTACGGGTTTAAAATGCTTCATTCCCCATTGCAATCCGTTGTGCTGAATTGCATGTAAAACTGTTTCTATAGCAAACTACTCGTTCGACAACTTAAACCAATTAGCTTTTGCACAATATCCTTTTTAAGTGACTGATTTTCAATTTTGCTTTTCTACCTGTTCAAGCCTGATAGAAAAACAAAGTGAAACTGCCAAATAAACATACTTTTACATTTATAGATACCATATGTCCCGGCTTTGCTGGACTTGGATGTATTAATATAGCGTCATTTAAATTAATCATCAAAAAACATTTATTACATATTTTTTCGATATTAGAATCATATATCTATGTTTTTTTAGATAAAATATATCTATAAAATTAGAGATCTGTTCGTGAAACTTCATAACAATTGGTTTGACCATTTCGAAGATTGTATGGACAGACTGATAAAAAAATTAAAATTGTTATGCATGTTTTGACGGCATACAAATAACTCCATGAGCTCAATAAAAGGTAGTTACATCGATATAACAGACAGATACTACAACTTTATTTATATTTTAAGTAGGTCTCATCTACCCAATGTTCAGTTTTGTAGTTTTTTTTTAATAGAATATGGGTGACATAAACAAACAGTCAATCTGATCTGAAGTGGGTTTTGTGGTCTACAGACATCTACGTCTATCCTCGATTAAGAATCAAGACGCAGATGTGCCGTCAGCTCTGATGAAGACTAAGATGGTATGCTTAGTTTCCAATAAAATGGATCTCCGGTCTACACACAGCACACGAAACACAGCATTGAGCTGCTACTTTACACTGGTATTGTCTCTCTATTACTGTTAAGTTTAAATATGAGTTATCTAACCGCGCTGTTTTCTGTTTACTGCCATTGTTAATAATATTTAAAACTGTTGACTATATATTTTTACGATTTCAGCACAGATTAATATGCATCTAATAATGATGGTGACAACTACCCAATGGTGTTTAAATTTTAAAAACGTAATAAGGAGATAAATAACTATGTGTGTACCTGCAATGAGTTGTTCCCTGGTGGCGCATTGCGGCAGGCGGGGCGCGAGCGCGGCGCGCGGGGCGTGCGGGGCACGGGCGGCCAGCGGCGCACGCAGCAGCTCGCCCAGCGGGCCGACGCCGCACTTGCCACTCGCCAGCAGCGTGCCCGCCACCTGCCATTACGTATCTTATTGTTTTATTATTTATTTAATGGTGCATCGGCTACAAGTGATTTAGCCATAATTAGGTACACAGGCAATCAACATTTTCTTTATAGAAAAAGGAGGCAAACGAGCATGCGACTCACACCTAATGGTTAGTATCGACCGCCACCCAAGAAAAACCGCAATTGCAGGTGAGTTGCTGCAGGCGGCGGCGTGCGCAGGCCGACGCAGCAGCGCGTGCGGAGCGTAGCTGCGTAGGAACGTACGTATGTAACGTGCGCAGGAACGTACCTGCGCGAGTGCGTGCGGGTGACCGGCGCACAGCGTGCGCAGCAGCGCGGCAGCATGCGCAGGCCGGCGCAGCAGCGTGTGCGGAGCGTAGCTGCGTAGGAACGTACGCATGTAACGTGCGCAGGAACGTACCTGCGCGAGTGCTTGCGGGTGCGCAGCGTGCAGTGTGCGCAGCAGCGCGGCGGCATGCGCAGGCCGGCGCAGCAGCGCGTGCGGAGCGCAGCTGCGTAGAAACGCCAGCGCCGCGTGGCTGTACACGCCTTCCTCACCACGCACGCCCTCCTCCGCTATCAGCTACGCGTACAAAAATCTCATTGTACACCACTTACGCCCAAATACTCAACGGTACTGTACTGTAAGATGAAGGTAACTCTCGTGCTGTCTCTATCACTTTAAGTCGAAATAACTATGACACCGCAAAACTTAAAGCCGCCTTAAAATTGAGAGGCGCTTAAGTATTTGAGCATTAGCCTAGCGCAGAACACTTAACACAATACTCAATGTTGTAGCCCACACATATTTGCATCTATCCTCGATTAACAATCAAATTGCCAATGCGCTGTCACTTTTGAGGACTAAAAGATGGAATGCCTCATTTCCTGTAAAAAGGTTCTGCGGTTCTCTGCACTCAACGTGCAAAACACAGCAGCATTAAGCTGCTATTTTACGCTGGTATTGTGAGAGCGTGGTCCATTCCCGGTCGAGTCGTGCTACAACCTACCTGAGACGACTCTTGTGATAACATAAAATATGAGGAATGAACTTGCAATGAGTTGTTTCCTGGTGGCACTGTGCGGGAGGTGGGGTGCTTTTTTTATAAAGTTGTAATGATAAGCGAACTTACAGTCCACCCGATGGTAGTCAATGGACTCTGTCAAGTTAATAAAACATACACTAATGTATCTTACAACCTTATGTCCATTAATAATAAAACCTTTTTTCGTTTGTACATATTGTTCGCGAGTATCGTGGGTATTCTAGTACATTACGATTGAAAGAGTAGATGACTCGGATTGATTTAGAATGTTCTACATTCCTCTTATTTGATATAAAAACATTCACCGGCGATCGGACTACTTCGGGAACACGAAAGTGATCTCTACCTCGGGAAGTGACTAAGAGCA